TTCAAAACTCGTACGTACGCCACTGGCAGAGAAAATTAAGAAAATTGTACATCAGAAAATGCGCCTTGAGGCATGGAACATATGTACCAAATATGCCAAATATGTCAACAAAATTATCTCAGTTATTATTAAAAAACTGATTATTTTTGAAAACTTTGCCACCCTGTATTTCAAAAGTTAAGGCGTTTAGGACATACGTCCATAGGACGTTTTTTCCTTAAAATGGGTCTAAGAATTACCTCCTTAAATATTAGCATGTGTTTAAGGAACACCCTGTATTATGTAGATATGTTTCCGACAATCATATAAAAGGTTTTCTTATTTATTCATTTATTTGATTTTAACCAAACAGGCCAAGACGGCCTTATTACATGGTTAACAGCTTCACAAAAAATACTTGAGGTGTAAGCTATGAACCTGAATCATAAACATAATGTATCATGAATTATGAATTGCAGGGGCTTGTGATCAATCCACAATAAAAATATTGAGAATATCGAAAAATCCTTTGAGATCTGTAACATTTCAAAAAGATATGTTCAGAATATGATCATTAATTATTCTTCGTAAAAACATTTCAAATCTATCTATTAAAGCCATTATGTCATATCTTCAACTCAATTTTTTTGACTGGTAAAATTCCTTCCGCTTTCAAAGACTCTATCACAACTCCGATTTATAAATCTGGGGATAAATATAAAACAAATAACTACAGACCAATAACAGTTATTAATAACTTTGCTAAAATATTTGAAAAGATCTTAAAAAATAGACTAGTTGATTATTGTAACATAAATAGGATCCTCTCCAAATTTCAATATGGATTCAGAGAAAATTTATCGACTGAAGGAGCAGTTTCTTAATTGGCAAATAATGTTTTCAATAGTTTTTAGGATCAGGCAAAATGCATCACTGTATTTTTAGACTTAGCCAAGGCATTCGACACAGTCAATCATGATATCCTTTTAGAGGTTACAGGACATTGGAGTTAGAGGAATGCCTCTCGAAATTTTCAAAGATTACTTATCTAACAGAATTCAGATAATTAAAACTAATGATTCATATAGTAATCCGTTACCCGTCAGCATGGGCGTACCTCAGGGAACAGTATTAGGCCCTATTTTATTTTTGCTTTATGTAAACAATATTTTTAATATCAGCAATTTTGAAGGAAAACTATTATCCTACGCCGATGATACTGCGGTAGTATTTGTGGGACGAACTTGGAATGAAACATATGAAAACGCAAACAAAGGAATGAAATCGATATATAATTGGCTAAGTAATAATCTATTGAGTCTTAACATAGATAAAACTAAATTTATAACTTTCACTTCAACAAGAAAAGATCAACCTGACGAAAACTTCATTAAGATTCACAAATTTACGTGTACAGAAAACCAAAACTGTGGATGTTCCCGAATATATAAAACAAATTCTATCAGATATTTAGGTGTCATGATCGACCAATTTCTACGCTGGAATGATCACATAGATCACATAGTGAAAAAACTCCGCAAACTGATTCGGAAATTTTACCAACTAAGAAGTATCCTAAGTAGAGATGTCATACTGACGGTGTACGGTGCCTTGGTGGAGTCGATGATTAGATACTGCATCTTAGTATGGGGTGGCTTATTCAAAACATCACTACATAATCTTGATGTTATACAAAATACATTGATCAAAATCGCATTGAAAAAGGATAGGAGATATTCTACAGAGTTACTTTACGAACAAAGTGGTTTGTTCAAAGTCAGAAAATTATACGCTCATCAATGTTTAT